AGTAATATGATTTCCCAAACTTGAAATGTCATTTCATGTGCACAGTTTTGAAAATATGTCCTAAAAATGTCTCTCTCTGTTCCTGTCATCATAATACTCATAAGGCTCAAGAGGGCAAAAATTTCAAGCTAAATGGGACAGGTATGAAATGAAAATAAAGTGAAGTTATTTTTCTTATTGTCTTCCAAAGGCTGTGGTGTTTTTTTTTTGACTGTTAAAGCATTTTTATCCTGCTTATGTTGAATTGTTCAAGAGAACAAAGGAATTCTTCTTCTTTTTTTGTTGATTTGACCTCTTTCTTGTGATCTGCCCTCTGGCATTTGGGTAACCATATTATTAACTGTGAAATTAGTTCTTGTAAGAGTAGCTTTATTGGATGGAATTATTTTGGTTGTGTTTATTTAATTAGAGGATAATGTCTGACAAATGTAATACATTTAGGTTTAATATTATTTATTTTTATGACAATAATTAGCCAAGATATTGCCTACTACTCCATTCCCCAGCTAGCAACTTCTTGTGGGAATTTCTCATTTGGGATAATAAGAATACATCAGGACTGAGGAGAAGTCATATCGTTATTTCCAAGACATGCAATATCTGGACAGGTGGGAGGTGGGGAAGTGAACATTTTGGGGATAGAGCCAGCTAATTTCCATCACTAGCATGTGAAACCTAGGAGGTGGTCAATAGCTATTCCTTCTGTGATTTCAGCGCCTTTATCCCCCGATACAATGGATCCTAAGTTATTTATTGGAAACTTCTAGAAGTATTTTGTGTGTACTCCTTAGCATATACTTCTTCCAATGACAGCATAGACAACATAACCCCCAGTATCTTTCTTTCTTTCTTTCTTTCTGAAGGAAGGAAGGACTGGAAGGAAGGAAGGAAGGAATGGAAGCGAAGGAAGGAGAGGAAAAGAAAAGCAAAGAAAGAGGAAAGAAAGAAAGAAGAAGGAAGAAAAGAAAGAAGAGAGCAGGAGAGAGAAAGAAGAAAGAAAAGAAAGGAAAAGAAAAAGAAAAAAAGAGAAAGAAAGAAAGAAAGAAGCAAATAAAGAAAGAAAGAAGAAAGAAAGAAAGAAAGAAAAAAGAAATAAAAAAGAGAAAGCACAAGAAAG